GGCGTGGCGAGGTGAGGCTGTGGGGGAGGGAGAACAGCAGGGGAGGGGCCGGGGGCTCAAGGGCTGAGCAGGATGGTCCCGTGGACCCGATGGGCCATAGTTTGCCCACCTCTGTTATAGATAGATCTGTCTGGAGACCTTGGTCTCTCTTATGTAAAGAAGGGTCCTGTGGAGAAAGAGAAATGTTTTCTTTTCTGTTCCTTCTGAGACTAAATTGTTCCAAAAGAGTCCTGTCCTGCCCTCCCTACATAATCAGATGGTTTTGTTTGTCTTGGAGGTGGCTTTTGAGTTGGGTTCCCATTATGGACTTGAATTTGAATCTTCATTTTTGACTGTCCTATGTATTTTGAACTCAATCGCATGCCAAGAGTTGAAGCTTCATTTCCGTTTATTTCTGGATCAAGAGTGTGTCAAAGTAAATATAATGGTTAACGTCTGCCTCAGAAATATTCTGAGTTTTATTCCTGTGTGTGTGTGTGCGTGTGTTCAAAACTCTTCATGCAAATATTGTATTTTTATAATAATGTATTCACAGTGGATCGAGTAGCTGAAATTATAACAGAGATCCCACCTGATGAGGCAGCCCTTCCCTCTGCAGCAGAAGAGAGGATTATGGAACTGGTTTTAGGAAAGCTGCCAAGCACCACAAACAACATCAGTTCAGTAACAAAGTAAGTCAGAGTGGGATGCAATCCTTCATAACGGGGTAGAACCTTCTCTCCTAACATCTGTAAAGCACCATTGTAGTTTCCCCCTGTTAGCATGGAGGAAGGGCTCATTTGGAGCAAGGGATGAGAGCCGTATACACTTAGACAGACTTCTTCAGAGTATAATGACTCTGATGAGAATTTGGACACATAGCCATATCCATTCAAAGCCTTCTGTCTTGTATGTGCATGCGCACACATGCATGCTGCCGGTGGAACAGCTGGTCAAGGAGTCTCTGCACCCTTGTATGCCACAAAGGGGGATCATGCAGGCCCAATGCACTGATGCTGGGTTGTAGCCATGGGTGATGGGAGATCAGTGACATGATTTTCACTCTGAGTGCAGTGCAATAGGATTATTTCTCTATCTTGCTACAGTTTTGTACAGTGGGATATTTGAAACCCATTAGAGGCTGCAAAGTTAAATGTTACTCCCACTGAATGTTGGTGCTAAAGATATGGATTTTTAAATAACATGCCTGGGAGAGATTTTGTCTCTCACTGATATTTGTAACTTGTGAATCGCGTCTCTTGCATCACTGCGAATTTCAGGGTTTGTAATAAACCTTGAGCAAAAGGGAAAAATGTCTATGAAATTTACAGAACCTCATAGAGGCCTTTGTTGTACATTTAATTACATATTTAAAAACTTGTTTCAGTGAAGCTAGCTTCTTGAGAGACTTGGAGGTGATCGATCCGTTGGTGTTTTAAGATTCTAGTTCATAATGCTATAAATAAATTGAAGTCCAGAGCAAGTAGATGGCAATAAGAAAGTACACATTCAAAAACATGTGCCGAATGGCATTTAGACAGTGAAACAGAACAGTGCTGCCTGATGGTTCCACGCATGCTCATTTTGTACGGTTCTCGCATGAAGATTATAAAGCTTTTAAGTGAAAAATGACATAGAGATATCTTTGGAGGGTGAGAAGAGCAGTTCCTGTGAGAGCCCTGAACATACAATCTTTGACTGTGGTGGCCACTGTTTTTCTGCCTGAGAGAGACTGGAGCAAATTCTCTTCCGACAGATCAGCTACTCTTCATATATGGCCAGGAGGAGTCACCATTGTCCAAACAAGAGGCTGACTTCCCCCTAAAGGCTGAGGTAGCCCTCCTAGCCTTTGTCAGCGGATGGAACTCTTAACTTTTTATTTTATTTTTAACTATGGAATGCTGTTCACTCACTGCCTTTCTTTCTCTAATCCAGTAGGTTTGCTCATCACCAAAACACCATGTCCCTCAAAAGAAGTTTAATTCTCTCCAGTAGACATGGAATACGTAGAAAGCTCATAAAGCAACTTGGGGAACACAAACGGGTATATCAGTGCAACATCTGCAGTAAGATCTTCCAGAACAGCAGCAACCTCAGCAGGCACATCCGGTCTCATGGTGGGTTTCCCTTCAGCTCCCTACTATGCTGTGGTTCTCTCCAGTCAGTTCAGGGGTTCGGCAGAGGAACTGAGATATTCGAGATGCAGATGTTTTTCACAGGTTCCATCATTAATTACTAGAGGTCTCCTCAATCAAACAGACAAAAGCATGATAAGATTCAATGGCTGGAAGTTGAAGCTAGATAAATTGAGACTGGAAATAAGGTACAGACTTTCAACAGTGAGACGGTGTCATGTGTTCTCCGTCACTCTGAGTCTTTAAATCAAGATTAGTTGTCTCTCTAAAATACATGGTCTAGTTCAAGCAGGGGTTATTGGGCATGTAGAACTAAATGCAGGAATTGTGTTGGGGAAGTTCTATGTCCTGTGCTATACAGGAGGTCAGACTAGTTGATCACAATGGTCCCTTCTGACTTCAAACATCAATGAATTAATCCTTTTAATGATTGAAGCTGCTCACGTTTCAGCTGATTGCTAGCCTATTTGTTTGGAGCAACCTATAGAATTGTTCAGATGTCACACATGGAGTTCCCAGTTGGTTACATCAGTCGCTCACTCTTTGTTTTGTCTTGATGGATCCCTCAGGTGACAAACTGTTTAAATGTGAGGAATGTGCAAAGCTGTTCAGCCGTAAAGAGAGCTTGAAGCAGCATGTTTCATATAAACACAGCAGGAATGAGGTGAGTAGAAATAACCAGATGGTTCTTCATGAGGAGAGATGAAAATGTGCTGAGAGTTCAGTGCTGATGATTGGGGTGTGTAAGTCAGTCCTGTGTGAATGGATCCCTGGTATGAATTGCCTATGGAAAAGTGCTCAGGCATTTCTTACCACAAGGGGGAGTGTCACTGAATCAGAGCTAGCTGGAGACTCAGGGCAGGATCTAAAAGGTGTGCTCTGACTGCTGTTCACTGTACTAAATAGGATTGTTTCACTGTTGTCTTGTTTGCGTGTCCTCTCTGGTTATTGCCACCTGTTGTGTCTTGTTGTATGTTTAAACTGTGAGCTCCCTAGAGCAGAGAGGTGTGTGTGTGTGTGTGTGTGTGTGTACAGCGTTACTTGCACTGGGGCTCTGATCTTTGATTGAGGCCTCTGAATGCTACTGCAATACAATTCATAATGCTAGTAAAACCCATTAATGGCAATGACAGTCTTTCGACTAACTTTAGTGAGTTTTGGATCAGGCCCTAAACTCTCAGATTACTGGCATCTAATGCCAAGAATATTGTGGAGCCTGACTATGAGTCAGAAAACATCTTGTTTTTCCTAAATCAAATTCTTCATTGCAGGGCTTAGAGTAGCCAAAAACACACACTCTCTCTCACCTACACACGTACATATGTGTCTTTTATAGATCAGTAAGTACAGCACCATATTTTTTGCAGCAAGTTTAGAATGAGGAGTCATTCTTTGAAATTTAAAATGTCAAAATTCTGCACTGAAATGTACTCCAAATGTTTTGAAGAAAAATATTTCTGTTGAAGAAAATGAAATGGATGTCACAATAAAAAAGCAGCCTAGAATTTTTTGCAAGCTCTCTTTCCATGTGTATGGTTTGTGTTTCTTCTCCCTCTTTTAAATGTTTATTGTTTACAATCCTCAGGTTGACAGCGACTACAGGTACAAGTGTGCTACATGTGAAAAGGCCTTTCGGATAGAAAGTGCATTGGAATTCCACAATTGCAGAACAGGTGATGACTGCTCACCAATGTTATCTAATCTTGAATCAGCTTTCATAATTTCCCATATATGATGGCATTTACAGACCCCTCACTTAAGACTAAATGAGCGATGGAGCAGTACTGGGCCAAGAGGGCCCTGCCCCTCAGCCACTGTAGAACTTGCTCCAGATGTAGGACCTGTTTAAAAGGGGAGTCTGGCACTCAAGCAGGCGGGAGAGTGAAGAAAAAACTGTCTGCAGGAACGAAGCCAATTGGTTGGTAGCTTCTGGGACAGGAATCCACAGGGGAAGGGCCTGGACTGTGGATAAGACCTGACGTAGCAGCCAGAGGCTCGACCCCTTTTCCTCTCCCCTTCTCTCTGACGAGGAATCACTGGACAATGTGAAGGGAGCTGGGAAGCCCTGAATGACTATCTGACTTGTTGAGAGTGTCTGAGCAACCCTCCCCAGGGAGGGAAGCAGCGTGCTGTGACCCTGCCCCAAACGGAAGAAAGAATAGGGAAGATAGGAAGTAGTCCAAGGGTGGCTGGTCTGGTGTACCAGCAAGAGGGGGGCTGAGACACTCCTCCTCCTTTTCCCCCTTGGGCTGGGACCCAGTGGAGAGGGAGGGCCCAGGTCCCTGTACCCTTCGCTCCCCCCCTTTGTCCAGCTGGGAGAACCCAGGGAACACCGGAGGAAGATAGCTGTAACTCAGCTGCCAGGCCCTCAGATTGCCTGACAAGGCCATCCCATGATTTTGGGGACTGTTGAGCCATGGCCTATGGACCCCCAAGTGAAGCCTGCTACACCATAATTCATCTCTATAGCAACCAGGAGGGAAGAGTAGTCATTTCAGGCTTCACCTTCCTCACACTACAGCAGCACTGTAAAAACAAACATCTGTTACCGCATCATGGAAAACTATTTCAGGCAATCTGTACAGCAACAATTCCACCCATGCGTTGTATTTTATCTCTTTCCCTCTCTCGAATCTCACATTCCCGGCTGTGTCTCGGATATCTCCTCCCAGATATCCTACCACTTTCTCCAGCTTGCTTTTTCTAAAACTAAACTTCACACCTTTCCTCTCAGTCCATCTCTGCTTCCTCTTATCTTTATCACCGTTGAAGGCTCCAGACTTGCAGCCTCCAGTTTCCCAGACTTGCACTCTTCACCTGCTTTCTCATTCCTTCTCCCAGTAAATCCAGTCTCCCACTAGGTCCTGTTGTTTCTTCCTCTGTGATATCACTAGAACCTGTCCTTTCCTCTGCATCTCCTCCCTAGAGCCCTTAGTCACTCCTTGGACACAAAATATCCATCAGCCTGGAATCCTCTGGGTAATTGTTCCTCCAAGCACAACTGGAGGTAACCTTACTTAAGACTTTTCTTCCAAGGGGCAATGCTTGTATAAAAGGACAGATGGTGCCAAGACCTCCCAGTAATCTGCCTTCGTCAGTGGCAGCTCTCTCTCTCACAGAGTTGATCCTTTCCAAAATTAAAAACATTTTGGACCTATTGTTAACTGGCCTAATACTTCTTTCTTCTGTCTTGTCCCTGTGGCATCTGCAGGACCATGCAACAACCCTCAGACTTTTGAACAGCCTCTGAGTTAGGAAGAAACTTCCCCAGTAGGCCTCTTGTTGTTTAACTGTCCATTATGGGGGTTTTACGCCTTCCTCTGAAGCACCTGGTACTGTCTGTTCTTGGAAATCAGGTGTGGACTAGGTGTGCCTTTGTTCGAAGCTGGGATAGCAATTCCTATGCTACTGTGTTCCTCAGACATTGCCACTCCAAACAGGACGTCATATTTGGGAAACCTGTGACTGAACCCAGTTTGGATAGAATTAATGAGAGTATGCCAGACTGCAGGGTCAGGGGCCTATATGAGAAACTTATTTTGCTAGAATCAATGTACATGTTAACATCTTTAATATTTACCATTGCTGAATTAACTTTGGAAGCAATTTTGGTATGTTTTGGTGACTTCCAGATTTTCATAGTGCAAGATAAACCTGAGGGAGCGAGGGTGGAATCTCTAGTAGAGTTGCCTGTGATTGATTTTGAGGAGCAGATCTTAACCTGTTGAGATTCTAGATTGACTGATTTGATTTTATTTTTTGACAGAAGACAAATTGACAAGTAAGAACGAAAAACTCATGTTCTGCTTTCCCCAGATTCATGTTTGGTGCTTTGTAATGCCAGATCTAACTATAGAATAAATTTCTTATCATATTTTTAAAAAAATACCATTTTTATCTTAAAATAATTGCTTTATTTTCATTACCTACAGATGACAAGACATTCCAGTGTGAGATGTGTTTCAGGTTCTTTTCCACGAATAGTAACCTCTCCAAACACAAGAAGAAGCACGGGGATAAGAAATTTGCATGTGAAATCTGCAATAAGATGTTCTACCGGAAGGACGTCATGTTGGATCATCAAAGGAGACACTTGGAAGGTAAGTACACTTGGCATGAAGCTGATTGTTGCTTTTGAAGTGTCAGTTGGCTTGGGGAAATTAAGTAAATCATTCTGCATCAGTTTTCACTTGATGCTGGCTATCATTTCAAAACTAATTAGCTGATCTGGTGTAGCTTATCCTTGGGAAGGTTAGCAAATTTTTAACAATACGGATAATGAACCATTGGAATTGATTACTGAGGGAAGTGGTAGATGCTCCATCATTTGGAGTCTTTAAATGAAGATTGGGTGTCTTTCTAGACTATATCCTGTAGTTCAGTCACCAGTTGTTGGGCTACATGCATTAACTGCCTGGTGAAAATTGTGTGGTTTGTGTTGAATAGGAGGTCAGACTAGATGATCAGAATGATCTCTTGTGATGTTAAAAATCCAAGTCTTCTGAAATTTCTGTGGTAACTGAAAAGCTTGTTGGCAGAGTTGCTGTCATTCATTGGGAATTGGACGGCAGTGAGTAAGCACAGATCCATTCCAGAGAATAATATGGGATTATGACTATCAGTTTAACAAATAAATTGAATGCGGCACAATATGTTGCCTTACAACATTTAGAGCACTTATGAAACCAGACCAGAAGAGCTGAGCACTCACAAATCTCACTGAAGTCAGTGGGCATTGCAGGTGCCCAGCACCTTTGATAATTAAAACGTAGCCTCTGAAGGAAATGATAGTCACAAAGAAGAGGTTAAAAGTGAGAACATACAATGAAATCTGGGTCTTTGTTTTAAACTGCCACTAGTAGTTTTTAGGGACAAGATTGAAAGTAGTTTAGAAGTAGGGCCAGATTAAACAATCTGGGCCCTAGGCACATGACGAGAGGCCCCTCCTTTTGTTCTGCCCCCCATACCACAGCCCCATCCCCCACTTTGAGTGGTGTTGGGGGCAGTGGGTCTCCCCTCACCTGTCACAGAGGCTGGGCCAGTGACCTGGGGCCCCCTTCTCCCCTCGAAAGCAGCAGGGGTGGAAATAGGGGTCTTTGTTAAACATGAAGTGCCTGGGGTTGAGCGGCTGTGCATCTACAGCACCCAGTGACTGACTGACTGGCTGGGGGAGTTTCTATGTTAAACTGCTCCCCACCCTAGATAAATCACCTCGCACCGGGTAGACTTTACTGAAACAAATAATGAAAGTGATTTGCTTACAATAGAAGTAGCTTTTCTCGCACTTTAAGATTGGTACAAGTAACCAATAGGAAAACAAAAATATATCTTCAACACGCCTCTCTTGTATTTCTAAGATCCCTTTCACTGCTGTAACTAAGTATTAGTTCGTTCATTCAGAGACAAAATTACGCATAGAGCACTACTCCCCTATCTCACTGCGCTTTACAGGAACAGTGTGTATTCGACTGAAAAGGCATACAGGAGTGGAAAATGTGGTTTATTTTATTTTATTTTTTTTGGTGGGGACTGTGACGTTAAGGGGTGAGGCGTGTGAAAAGAGAAGACTTTGAGCACAGCACGGAGAACATGGTGCGCTACAAGAAGGAACCCTCGGGATGCCCTGTGTGTGGGAAGGTAGGCTTTTTTTGCCAGTTTGTGTCAGATAGAGCTTTGCATTCAAGCTCCAGCAATCCTCCAGTCCTCACTACAGACGCACCAAGAAATACTCTGTAGCCAGCGTTCTGAGGAGCTTTTCACTTAAAGCAGCATTAAACAAAACCCTAGTCCAACCTCATATTTTCCGAGGACCAGTTATAAACTGTTACGCTCCAGATTTGTCTGTTAATACAGTCTCTTTATTTGGCTTAGGTTGGAGTGAAGGGTTTGTGTTGGAGTGAGAGGAGCTGGATGTGGGCTTTGTGAGCAATTCTGCGTTAGAACTGAAAGTGAGTGTGTGGCGTAGTGATGGAGGCCACAAGTGCAATTGGGCAGTGTTGGGTGGTAAAATATGCAATCCAAGATTAGTGTGAATGTGAATGGCATGGATGAGAATGTGGACTTAACTACTGTTTCCAAGATGTTTAGTGATTTGTGGTGGTGGAATTTGCACTCAAGCAACCTTATTTCTAAGTAAATGATGGGTTTTTTTACTTGGGAATAGCTAAGTATCACTGCAGTGTCGCATACATAGAAGGGGACCACCCTTCTTAGGCAATCCTGTTTCAAGGGACCATCCCCAAATATCTCCAAATGTATTAATTGTAATTCTACTCCACCTATATTAGATGTCCACCTCTGTTACATAACCAATCTCTGCTAATCCTTTGAGTGATTATTGATGCATAAGTGACTACGTTAACAGCTTGTGTAGCCTGGTGTGGAGTGGATGATGGGAGCTCTTATTTCTCGGAAACACAAACAAATAGGTTGCCCTGCCCAGGAACAAGTAGAGCAGTATTAAATACCTCCTAAATCTAATTGCAAATTAAGTTATGAAGAGGAGTAGCTCAGATGCCTCTTGAGGCATGACAAGAAAAATATTCTTCAGTGTTCTTCTACCCTAGGTATTTTCATGCAGGAGCAATATGAACAAACACCTCCTGACACACGGAGACAAGAAATACACCTGTGAAATCTGTGGACGTAAATTTTTCAGAGTGGACGTTCTTAGAGATCATATTCACGTCCATTTTAAGGTATTCTGTTAATATTCTGATAACTTGCATTTTTTATTGGAAACCTGTTCGAGAATACTAAGGTGGTGTGATCATGCTGGCCACGTAAGAGGGATCACATACATCTTCTTGCCCCGTACGTACATCTCTATAAGGGTCTGTTACACCTGTTTCTCGATTCAAGCCAGAATTTGGTGTTTGGAATCTCAGAAACAAGAGTTTTGGGTTTTTTAAGGTAAATCCTTTGCAGCTTATCTTCAACACTGTGGGTGGTTAAGTATGAGAAAAAAACTATGAAATAGGGGAGTTGAGGGAACCATCACTTTAAACATTAATAGATAGGTTACATAGAGGAAGTGTTGTCTAATGGTTATGGCAAGCAACTAGAAGTTAGGAGGACAGCTTAGTTCAGGTCCCAAGATTGACCCCTGACACTCTGCCTGACCTTGGGCATGCCACTTAACCACCGTGCTTCAGTTCACCCACCTAAAGCAAAGAGAACACTTACTTCCTTTGCAAGGTGTGGCAGCTCAATTAACTAGTGTTGGTATGATCCCTTTTAGAGCTTTGGGTGGAAGGTGCTATGCGAGTGTTGGGTAGAAGTATTGATTATTATAGCAATTGTCACACTGATCCACAGAGCACAGGCTGGTGGTCCGCAGACATGGTGCTGCTGCTCCTCCTCCTGGTTGCCAGCTGCTAAACTGCATTAAAAGGCAGCTATATACTGAATCTTTTCTTGATGTTACTTTTCCATATAAGCAATTGCTATAGTTGCTATAGGGCTGTTAAGCAATTATGAACGGGAGAGGAGGCATGCCTGAAATAGTCTCTCTGCTATAATGTGGTCCATACTCTGAAAGTCTTTCAGAATCCCTGAGGTATTGCAGGATCCTCACAGGGAAACGTCTTGCCTGTTGAACTGTCTGGAGAACCCTTGTAATGCAGTTAAGAGTCAAGTGGTTTAGTGAAATGGTGCAATTTCTTTAACACAAACTGAAAGGTGTTACACTCTTCAATGGTTCCATTAAAATGGTTCTATGGATTTAACACGGCTGCGGTTGGTCCCTATTTATACTAATATTCATAAAATATGCATATATTTGGCATTTAAAAAATAACAACATTGTGTCTGTACAAACTGGGGAACTTTTGCAGGTATTTCATTATATGGGAGAATGCCTTGAATCACATTATTGTCGGCAGTTTATGTAGTTAATCAGTGTCGCAAAAGGGTTGGAGATGTATTAACTTTTGACATTAGATCTGATTAAGATGGAATCTCCTTTCCCACCCTGTATAGGACATTGCACTAATGGATGACCACCAGAGGGAAGAGTTCATTGGTAAAATCGGAATCTCATCAGAGGAAAACGATGACAACTCTGATGAAAGTGCAGATTCTGAGCCTCACAAGTATAGCTGCAAAAGGTGCCAGGTAGCTTTAAATTCTCCTTTCCAACTAAATGTGTGTGTTAGTTTCTTCTGTCAAAGAAAAAGTTGTTATAATCAGAATTTCACAGAACATTGAAAATAAGCTAAGAGAGGGCCAATCTGATGGTCTAGCAGCAGCACAATTTGGGGGATTCAAGACCATGACCTAATTCTGGTCCTGCACTCCCACATCAGCAATGAGAGGGTGCCACACTCCTCCCTGGCATCCGACGCTAATGGAATGGCATTCATGGCCTCTGGAGCATACTTGATTGAGCCATCCACTGTGGGAGGAAGAGATGATCATCACAGGGCAGGGCTTTTGGGAGTTGGAAAGAAGTGTGTGGGGGTGGGAGTCGTGGCCAGGGGGAAAATGTCATCCTCAAGATTCTTAGAATTCTCTATCAGAGAACTGATTGGTTGGGACAGCTAAACTGACTGAATTATTACTTATGTCAGAAAGCCAGAATGGCTTTGTCATACAAGTAATCATAATAAAGATGTGTGACCTCAGCAGTGACATGCCTCACTTTCAGCTCAGTACAGTTTAAACAGCCGAGAAGCGAAATCTCTGAGATGGTGCTTTGTGGTAATTCTTCAGGCTGCCTGTTGTCTCCTTCATGAAGAGACAATTTCTCTTTATCCTCTCCGCTTCCCCTATGAAATGGGAAAGATCCTTAGG